ATTTCAAATCATGCTGGTCTGGCTCCTTATTCTTTGCTACCTGCTCATACTATCTCAGAGTTCAGCAAAATCAGAAGCAGGACTTATAAGATTAAAAATGATTCCATAAGAAGAACTGGAGAGAAAATTACTCTAGCCACCTCTCTTGAAGGATTCAGGAATCCTTAGGTTGGACCCAGACAGTGAATGTATGGACTATATTGGAGCTGACATTCATGTATCACTTGCAATTGATATTTATACTTAAGTGAACAGCCAGGTTAGTTAACTTCATAGTCTCTTGTGACTTCCCCATGACTTTACCATCCTTTGTGGCTTCCTAGTTAGAGGAAACTCTTGAGTGGGGAATTGTTTATTCTTACTCTGTTTGCTAGTTTCTTATTTGGGTCAGCCAGGTAAACACATGTCTATCAATCCTTGATGCCCTCTGAGAGCTGGGTTAAAGGTGAGAGTAGCGGTACCCATGTGTGGTGTTCCTCAAAGCCTGAGTTTTTGCCCCCTCACACCAGCATGTTATAAAGAATTGCTTAGCCAAAAATTCACCTCTTGGGTCCCTCCCCAGATTCACTAAATTAGAATATTTTTAGATGAACTCAAAATTTGAACATTCAATAATCTTTCTAGAAAATTATGATCAGTTATGTTGTCTTTAATGCTGGGCTCTTTGAGATGGAGGGAATCTCACCTTATAATGTTACTAATTTGTCCTGATCTACTGCAAACAGAGAAAGTAGGATAAAAAACCTGAGTGCTAAGGGGCAGTGTGGTGACTTCCTTTTTATTAAGGATTATTTTTTACTTTTGTTCAAGCTTGCAGGTGATGTTTATATTTAGTCAGCTTTGCTTTCAATGTGGGACCTTTGTTTTAGCAAATAGATGAGTCTTTCAATTTGATAGCTGAGAAGCTCATACCTCTCTCTCTCCCTTTCTCCCTTGGCCAACTAACATCTTTTTGGTGCCCCCCGCCACTCAGTAGTATCAAATAAATGTCCTCTTTCCAATCTAGGCTGGAGCTGCAGCTTCATTTTGAACATGTATTATATATTTGGGATTTCCAGAGCTGCTTCTCCATCTGCCCTTCCTCTGACGGTATTTATATAGAATAGGCTGAAAGAAATCAGGAAACGGGACTGTTCCAACCCGGGAGAGGGAGGCTGCTTCTTCACACTGACAGCTCATTAGCTCGTGTAGAGATGAAACCGACAATAATCCACAGCCTCCACAGAGGCAGGCAAGTGCGTGACTTCCTTCACCCCAAGGCTGACCTCGGAGCCCAGGTGCAGGCTCACAGCACCTCATCATTCTGTCGTGACTGCATCTGTCATAGTCTCCACTGTAAACCTTATAATGTCAACTTTTTCTCCACACCTGGGGCTCGTCCCTGAGCAATGATCTCAGAAAGATGGTCCTGGAGTTCTTTTTATCTGTTACAAGATTATCCTTATATGTCAAGTGTCCCAGGAGGCAATGAGTTTAATGTCCACAGAGCCCAATGACATAAAGAGTTTACGGGTCTGGTCCGAATTGAATGTCCTGGCTCATCCTGCTGTGGGACCTTAGCCAATGATCTTATAGGTCACCCTTCAATTTTTCAGACATGAATGACAAATAGTTACCCAATGCACACTCCCTCTCAGCACACATGAACACTTATTTTGTGGGTATTTTAAAAGGATAGTAACAATATTGGGGTTGTCATTTCTGAACTAATCCTTTGGTTTGCCTGGGAACAAAACTGAGATTGTTTAGTATTCCATATAAAGGTTTTTGAGTTCTAGGGCTTAGATGGTACACCTGGTCTTTTCATTCTCTGTAGCCCAGAGAGCACTCATGCTGTTTCTAAAAATGCCAGAGAAGCAAAATCTTCCCCAGCATTACAGCAGCAAGGAAGTTTTTTTGATAAATAAAGTTATTTTTGTACTACAATATATTCTGGCCATGGTTTTCCCTCCCTCCTCTGCTCCCAGATCCTCCCCACCTCCCCAACTTCTCACCTTCCACTTCCCCACCTCCCACTTCCCCACCTCCCCACCTCCTCACCTTCTAACACCATGCCTTCTTTTTCTTTATTAAGAAAATAAACAGGCAGATAAAAAAGACAAACAGGAATAAAAAAAAACAAACTAACAAAAAGAAATCATTAAGGTATTTTCCCCACTAACCCCTTTCAAATTGTCTCCTTATTGCTGAAGACAGCTTCAAATAAAATATGAATAAATAACTCTTAAGCACAGAGTTCTCAAATTCTCCTAGCATTTTAGTATATTTTTTCATAGGCCTCTTGGCCAAAATAATATGAAATAATTCTGTTTATTAGATCCAAACTACTTAAAATCATTTATCACCTAAGATTTTAGTGGCTGTTTTAGAAAGTGAAACATATAAACTGCAAATTAAATTCTATTTACTTATTTTTTCCTTCTGTGTATGTATGTGCACCATGTGTTGGCCTTGTGTCCAAGGAGGCCAGGAGAGGACACTGAATAGCCTGGGCCTGGAGTTGCAGGTGGTTGTGAGCCACAATGTGGAATGCTAGGAACTGAACTTAGGTCCTCTGCAAAAACACCCACTGTTTTTAACCACTGAGCCATCTCTTACTGGTGAAATTATTAAGGCCACTCCACATAGTTAAAAGGGAGATTTATTTAGTGGCGTAACTTACAAATGAAGGGATAGGTAGGTTGCAGGTTCTGGGAAAGACACAGCGCAGTCTGGCGGTGTTCTCTGGAGAACTCTCCTTGGTCCACCCCTAGCGTCCCGGGTCCAGGAAACAAGAGAGGGCAGCACATCTGGATCTCAGGTCTTCAGGGCCCTCTCTTGGCCCCACCTTGTAGGCGTGATAGTTACCGAAGCCTCAAAAGGGTTGGAACTTCCAGACCAAAGCTGGAATGGCTACCCACTACAATCTCTCCAGCCCTAAATTGCTACTTTATAAATTTCAAACTTAGTCAGATATAGTTACTTACCAATGAGATGTGTGGTCATGGTGGATAGTGGTACAGCTTTGTAATTCTAGGACTCAGGTTCAAGATTAACAACCCACGTCCTGTTCACACTGATTGTCACAGGAAGCTTGCTTCTCATCACAGCTTTGGACAGCTTTTGACTTTATTGGATGTTGTTGAAAGTATAAAATGCCCTTCAATATTGATGTGAGCTTCCTGTGGTGCTTCAGAGAGTCTTAGCATGCAGGCAATTGTGGGCTTAACAACATCAAGTAAAGCAGTTAGTAAGAGAATATGCATGTTGGCAGTGGGGAGGTGGTATGCATGTTGGGGCAAGGGGGTGCATGGAGTATCTCGATGTTCTCCTCTATATTTTGTTGTAAACCCAAAATTTCTCAAAGACTGTCTTAAAACATCCAGTCACAAGCTAATCATCTTACATGAAGATTATCCCAACTAATTTTCAGTTTATACAAGTTTGACATTGTCTAATATTATCCACGCTGCTCCACCCATTTTTCCCAGGTAGAACTAGCTGGCACACCCATTCACTCAGATCTTTAGAGTACAAAGAGCTGTACCACAGTGTGAGATATCCCCATGGTAAAAACAGAATATGAATAATTAAAATATAGATTCATATCTATACTTTAATCCATGATGTCCTAGATTAATCTAAGATTGCCTGTCTCTCTTCTTCTCTCTTTCTTTCTCTTTTCTTTGTTTCATTTGTTTGTTCATTAATGCCAACATTTATATTCAGCAGTGCCTATTTTGCATTAGGCACCAAGCAAAGTGCTTGGCTCTGCACTGAGCAGGGCCGAATCCATTCCCATCACATAACACTTGAGTTCCTTGAGTGCTATTTTTGCTCATCCCAGGAATGAATATTCACACATCACTCCCTGAGTTGAGGCTCTCAGGCACACACAGGTGTCACAAAACTGAGTCATTGGGAAATGGTGCTCGACACGTTCCAGGTGGAGATTCTTGATGTCTTATTTAAACTTTACTCTACCTCTCCCGGAACTGATCGGTTTTTTGTTTGCACTCCCTAGGATTTTTTAAGTGTCCAACTCCCTTGGAACCCAACTCACAGTAGAATTACTTTTCTCCTAATTTCATACCACTGTTCAGTCAAATTGAGGAAAATATATGTTGTTTGGAGCTCAGCATGTCTCAATTTTCTATTTTGAGAAGTTGCCATTGTTTGTTAGAAAACTACTGGCCCAGTTGTGATACACACACTTTAACATGACAGCAATACCTTGCAAAGTGATGATATTCTTTAAAGAAAAATGGGTTGAGGAGCCTTTATACGGCAACAATTGAAACAGGCTATTTTGTATATGGTCTAACTATAATCATTTGATGTTTTTATAATATAGTCATTGATTTGTTGGTTCATTCATTGATTGTGATTGTATATTTACTGAACTATGTATGCATCAAGTACACAAGTAAACAAGCTAGATTCTGTCTGCTTGTAGCTTGGTTAGAAAGGGAAAAGGAGCTTCATACATTGGGATAAGTATTCAGTATATGGCCAACTGGAAATATTTTTAGAAACTTTAGTAATAAATTAAATACTAAGCATATAATTATGTGTCATTAAAGGCATATTTTTGATGGCACAAAGACATATTAAGGATATATAGCATGAAGAAATATGAAACAAAATATACTGCATAACGACAGCCATAAATCCACTGGAAATAAATATGCCACAACATGAATAGTAATTACTACTAAGTGTTAAAATTATAAATCAGATTCAATTTTCCTCATTTTGGAAATGTTTCTTCTCTCAATCAGTGATGGCCATTAGGAATAGAATGCAAGGTAGGTGCTAGGTAACTTTTTCTAGAACTTATATTTTGTAAATTAAAAAGGAGAAATTAATTGCTATATTTTATTTGACTCAATATAACCAATGCAATATCTTAGCATATGTTTTGATTTCATCCAGTTGCCGTGATAAAACACAGGGGCACCTTGAAGGAACAAAGGATTTATTTCATTTTATTATCATATTATCATTTGTCCAGGCTGCAGTCCACCATTGAGGGAAGTCAGGGCAGGAACTCAACAGGAGCTCACTCACAGACAAGGAAGCAAAGCAGAAGCCATGGAAGAATGCTGCTTTCAGGCTCTCTCACTGGACTCCTGTTTAGATAGCTTTTAGCCTAGGAATATCACCCTCCTACATTTAGTTGATAATGTGATGCCCCACAAACATGCCTACAGGCCAATTTGATTAAGGCAATTCCTCAATGGAGGCTTTCCTCATAGATATCTCTAGGCTGTATCAACTTAACAAAGCTAACTAGGGCAGCATATAAGCAACATAACTTTTGTTAATGAGATTTTTACATTATCTTTCAATAGTAGACCTTTAAATTAAGGTGCACATTTTTAAGTAAGTATATTTTTAATTCAGAGAAGCTGCATTGTGTGTGTGTGTGTGTGTGTGTGTGTGTGTGTGTGTGTGGTGTGTGGTGTGTATGTGGGTATACATGCCTATGAAAACAGGAAGAGGCCAAAGGAAGATGTTGAATGCTCTGCTCTATCATGTTCTACCCCAGTCTCTTAAGACTCATCGAACTTGAAACTTGCTATTTTGCTCAGCTAGCTGGCCATTAAGCTCCAGGGGTTTTCTGTCTATACGTGCCAACCCTGGAGTTATTGGCATATATGTCCATGTTTTATTTTTTATGAGGGTCCTGGGGATTTAAAGTCATATCCTCACACTTGTCCAGCAAATTCTCTTATTCCCTGAGCCATCTTCTCCCCTATTCTTTGTTTTTTTTTCTGCCTCTACCTTGGTGATGCTGGAGAAATGAACCCAGTGCAGGTATGCTGGGCAAGCGCTCTGTTTACCAGCCCACAAGGTACAATGTAGGGGCTCAGTAACTTCAAATGCCCAATGACTTCTCTACCACATTGCAATAGAGATTTTATACATTCTGTGATGAGGTTTCATTCTTTCTCTTGTGAGAAAAACACACGGAAATTAAAAGCCAAGAAATCGGTTGGCGATGCAAAGGGCAAACAAAATGACAGGTGCATCATGTGTGTAGTAGGAAGAGAGGTGATATTTGTTTGGACAACTGTTTAGAAATTAGCTGACGTGGAGCTTGAGAGAGGACTATGTTTTGATGAGAAGATACAAGATAAAAAGAGTGGCAAATCTAAGAGATGGTTTCTTCCAGCCTATGGAGAACAAATCAAGATACTTGGGGGCAGTGGTGGAGTAGAACTAGTTTGGGGAACTTGTGATAGTTATACATGTCCAGAAAGTTGGGAGAGTGTAAAGTGATTATAGGATTAATGTTTCATAAGCTCATGTATGACAGATATCTAAGGACTTTGTTAGCACAAAGGAATTTGGACTTTATAGAAGGCCACTGTAGAGCATGGACATTATATGGTCATACACACACACACACACACACACACACACACACACACACACACTGACAAGACTATACAAGATAAAGGTGGGAGCAAGGAAATCTCCATGCTAAGGTCACAGAAAAAATATTTGTAAGACATTTTGGAGGTGGGTAGCATGTTAGTGTTGAGAAGATATTTTTCTTAGAGGGGAATAATGAGGCTAATCCTCAAGTTTTAGAAAATCAGTATTGAAATGGGAGTTTGGAGCTGGCCATAGTGCCTAGGAGAAAAGTGAAATGTCATTCACTAAAATAGAAGGCATTGGAAGCAATGGAAACTTAGGGAAAGCTAATGAATTTGAATTTATAGTCAGTGAAGCTAGGGTGCCCATTTGGCATCTAGGTGGATGTAATCAGGAAAAAGTTTATGCAAAGAGTCAGAAGTCTGATTTCCAGTCTACTTTCATTACCTCACACGCCATCTACAATATCCAGTTATCTTTCCCCTTTTCTTCTTCAAATTCTCCTTTATCCATTCACTTTTAAGTTTCCATTCATATACTAATGGTAATAATAAGTAGAATCTATTGAAAGCTTATAGTGTGACAAGCTCTATTTAACTACTTTGTGTGAATCTTCATATTCATTCCTTGTAACAGTCATGGGAAGGTATACCAGATGTGGAAATTTGGGTTCAGAGTACTAAGTAATTAGGCCAAGACCTTTTCTCTACTGTACGTGGAGCTCAAACACCCTCAACTCAGACTCAAGTGATCCAACTTCCTGGTGACTCTCAACTTGATTCCATGCATTGGATAATTCTGTACCAATATCTTTTCTCAGAAATCCAGATTTATATGTCATGGTGCTTATTGGGTATTGTTACCTTTGGAGGTTAGTTACCTTTATCATCAAAACCCCTTTTTGATCTGATAACTCCTCAGACATCTGGTTCTACATTCATATCCCTCTTACATTCTACATTTGAGGGTATTGAACTTCCTACAGCTAAGCAAAAACCCATGCTTAATGGATTTGTTGAGAGCTAGGTTGATCCAAGACTTACTCAGAGATCCTGATAGAAGAGCAAAAACAAAGGGAACCTAGTTTTATATCCTTGCTCAGGGGTAATCTTGGCAAAATCAGGTCTGGAGCTTTCAAAAGTGCTGAAGTTTGAGTTCCAGTGAACTTGGCTTTTCCTCCTGAAGAGACCGGAGTTATCAGCCCCAAGGCTGATAAGCACTCAGTTGTTGTGACATACTTGTGATGTCCCATGTTCCCATTGTGCAACACTGCTTGATCAGCTTCCTGCTGACTTTGTCCTGTTGTATGATGATGTTTTGCTTACTCTGTCCTATTTTTCTCTCTGGTAAATAATATGTAAGATTCATAGTAAGCTTGCTTGGCATAAGACATAGCTTGTTCAGGACCTTCTTCTTCAGGAGCCTGACATTGAAGAACAACCTTCTTGTCCAGGCCAGATCTCATAGTATCTCACATAGTTCAATCTTTGAGATCAACACACATATACACAATTGCAAGGACTGTTCACTGTTTGAAAGCTTTTCCTTTCACCAAAAGGAAGTACCACACAACAGAGATGCACTTCTACTCCACAAGCTGTCTGTATCCTATGGCTGAATACTGCAATGATTCAGGCCTAGCTATCTCTGACTTCAGAGCTTCTCTCATAGGTTGGTTGGCTTAATGACCTGTCAAAAGTGCATTGCTCTTCAGCTTCTCCCTTTGCCTATCCTGCTCCCTTACACTCTGACAAGTATTTTCTTATATGCATGACTCAGATGAAAATCCTTTCCATAAATATACATTCAAGTCTTTACCTCACAGTCTGTTTTGTTGAGAAGCCCGTTCTAAGAGCATTAACACCAGAGTTGTCCTAGGAAGCAGTTCCGGCAGGTGATGTGGAGTCATTCCTTAGCTGCCTGGCAGTCAGAACTTGGTTACAGGTGCTAGATGAGATTTTTATGGCCAGTGGGTGTACTGCCACATGGCACAAGTCACATCTGTCATTAGGAGCACAGGGATTGTACTAACCGTTGAGAGGTTGTAGAAAAGGAGGTGGTATGAAGATCGTGGGTTCAGATGGCTTTGGCTGTCTGCTGTTAAGTCCTTTGAGAAAAATAATGAGAGAGTGAGAATAATTAACCTAACATTTAGGACAAGCTGTGAGACCCAAAGAGCTTGTGGATAGGGAGGCTCAGGACTAAACCTAGAACACAATTTTAAGTGTAGCAGAGTTTCATAGGTGATGGATATGCAAACCCCAATAAATCTGCTTCCCTGAGATCTGGCTTTAGCTGGGAAAGCATGAGGTTCTAGTGCTTGGAGCACTTCATCTAGGTTGATGCATTTGGAAACAAACATGTTTTTTGAGGCAGTATCACACACTAGGCCAGGTTATCTTGAAACTTATTATGTAGCCCAAGCTTGCCTTTCCAATGTGCAGTGGATTATAGGCATTATGCTATAATATTTGAAAATCTTGAACCCTTGATTTCCTCTGAGTCACAGAAGGGCCCTGTTCCTTCCTGCTTAAAGCTATCATTTTCCCTTGGATTACAATATTCTGATATAACATGGACCCTCTCTTCTTTTATTTTCTCCACCCCCTTCTGATTTCCATTCTCCTCCTGACCAAATTAATGGCTCAAAAAGTTCACAGAAATACTCATACTGGAAGACACATACCGTGTAAAGCAGAATACTTTCCTCCTAGCCACGTTTCACTCAAGGATCCACAGGTATTCATTTACTGGCTGATACAGAAGATACTGATGTGAGGGGGAAGGGCATACATGAGGAAGTAAGTGTTGGCTGTCCTCTGTAGGCCAGGAACAGCAGCAAGACACTCTTACAGAACTGAGAATCCTGATAGAAACAAAGAAGAAGCCAAAACAATGAGTACCTAGTGGTAGTTTTTTACTATTGAAGGCAAAGTGATCACAATTATAAGTGGTCTGCTGGTTTGAATGAGAAATGTCCCCTATAGGCTTTTGAACAGGAATGCTTAGTTGTGAACTGGTTGTACTTCTTGGGATGGATACAGAACCTTTAGGAGGTAGAGCCTTGCTGGAGGAAGTGAGCTACTGGGGTCAAACTTTGAGATTTTATAACCTGGCCTCATTTACTGTTCTCTCTGTTTGCTTCCTGTATTCAGACCTTGGCTTCCTGTGTGCTCTCCATCCCTTAGAGAAACCTGATGGATCCACTGGGGGGTTCACCGAATCCTTCACTTCTATTGCCAACATGGTTTCTAGAACAAGTGGTAGTGCTCTGCTCAAACCAGTGATGTAATGAACCTATTTACAACTGCTGTGCTGCTCCAACACTGTTAGAGCTGATTAACAGCCCCAGATTCATTAACCTGGAAACTCAGGTCTTCCCCCATCATTTCCAAGCAGATGTATCTGTATCAGTGGTACACTCTGAGACATAGTGCAGCATGTTCTTGCCTTGAACTGTTTTTAACTTTCCCGCCCTTTGTCACAATATAGTTGCAAAGAGCATAGATGCTTGTTTAGATTATTTTTCTTCCTTTTTGCATATGGGGGAGGTGAAACCAGGGCCTTGTAGAAGATAGGCAGTTCTCTATCACCGAGGTACCCCTCCAACCTCTATCTCTTTCTTGTTTTTTTTTCCTTCTGAAGAAGAAGGTTGTGATGGTTAACTAAACTGGCTAAGGAAGAAATGAGAAGTACTTTGGGGGCCTTGGTGAAATATACATACTTCAATGAATGGAAGATAAATGCCATGATCATTCAGGGCTGTGACATGTAGTTCTAAAGAATATAGTTATTTTGAACATGTCTGGACATTCTTTCTGAAGAAAAGAAGAGATTATTGCATTTCGCATTTACCACTTTTAGGGCCTCCGTGGTTTCTGAGGACAGCATATTTCATGCTTGGCACAGGCTGCAACCCATGCCCCAAGCAACAGAGAAGATGACTAACTTTAATTAAAACTCAGAATAAGAAAAGGTTCTGCAGTATGTCTGGGGCATATGGTCTTGAAGAATGAATGTTATGTATGTATGATGTGAAAAGATGTCTGCAGGTTTTGGAAAACCTCAGTAGGCAAATTACAATGTGAACTCTTAGGATTTTCAAGCAAGGCAGTGTCATCTGTAGGAGAGAGCTAGAGTCTGACATATTATTGGTAAGTATTCTGGCTGTGCTACTGGGAACTGACAGAGAAAAATATCATGATCAATTGACCATGCATTAAAAAAATGATCCACGTGAGCCATCTGATACATCAAGTTAGAAGGTTGGGCTGAACCAATAGTAATTCATGGTGAAATGGAAGGGCTATATGCGGGCTTGTGGATGAGCAGAGCAGGAAGGCACACGTGGGTGGCAGGTGTTCCAGGCCTCCATGATAGTTGTCATGTTACATGGTTCCTCTCCCTCAGCTCATTCTTAGGGCCACATAAGGAACCTTCTTATCAGATGACAAAAAAGACGGAGGACAAGACTGGTTCATACATGAGTTGTCTCTGCACATGGCTGTAAGCGGAGAAAGCAGTTATGACTCTCTAGTCCCATACACTCCGAATGCGTAGTGTTAGGAGACCACAGCTGTTTCTCCTTTTTGAAAAATAACAAGGACTTGTTGGAGGTAAGAAAAAAACAAAAAAAGGAAATACAGGAAGTTTCCTACAGTCCAGATGAGGTTTAAATGTCTTTGTAGCTCATGATAATGCCCACTGGAGAATTGTTCATCAAGGAAGGGACACTAAATAGCTAAGTAGACAAAATGACTCAGCCAGCTGATGTCACCCAGCTTCTGTCATCAGTCACCAGAGTGTTGGCATAATGGATACATTACATTAAAACCTTGCCAAAGATGACTCAATGGCATTGGTCCTCACTAACCAGCTATTGATGCCACCTACATTCAGATGGGTCCAGTTTCCCCCCAATCCCCCAGGACTTGTCACTATCCCACACATCTGTCCCCTCTAGAAATGCCTTATAGACACACAGACCTTTCCATCTGACAACAACACAAATAATTACTGAGTCTTGGATACAATTCATCCTTCAAGTACACCAAACAGCCGGCTAGAGGGAAGCTGATTATTTTGGAACCTATTTATCCTGAAAACGGTAGTGATTCACCTTGGCTGGGAAAAACACATATTCTGGTATCAATTTCCTTTTGTTTGCTGCTGGGTCTCATCCATCACCACCATTAGAAGATTTCACAGAACATCTACTGATACCATACACTCGAAACAATTCAATATGTGCACAAACGTTTGTTTCTGACAGTGCTTAGTATCTATATGACTTCATAGAGATAGTCCCAGGAATCACTCTAAAGGAAGATTAGAAACCAAGATGGAAACGTTGGAGCATAAATAAAGAAGCGCAGTATGAAAAAGGGAGGAATTGCAAAGACAGAGAGAAAGATGGGCCAGAGATGAGAAACTATTCCTTCAAGCAGGAGGGGATGTCAAGCTGTCCAGGCATCTCAGGTAGCAATATGTTTCACTGTGGAGTTCTCTTCTCACTCTGCCCCTTTCATCACATCAACTATCTTTTTGAAAGAGTATGTGGCCTTTTAAGTGGCACACGCCTTTAATCCCAGCACTCAGGAGGCAGAGCCAGGTGGATCTCTGTGAGTTCGAGGCCAGCCTGGGCTACAAAGTGAGTCCCAGGAAAGGCGCAAAGCTACACAGAGAAACCCTGTCTCGAAAAACCAAAAAAAAAAAAAACTTTATATATATTTTAAACAACTCTGTTGAATATTGGGACACTTAGGTTCTTTTCCTTCTCTTGAGAATGTGAGTTAGAAAACAGGAGAAAGGGAGAGTTAACTATTGGAAGGGGTCTCAGACTACACAGTCACCCAACAGGTTGAGCCCATGCAGGGAGAGCAGGGGCTGTGACTGATTTAAATTCACTATGGTAAATAACAAATGACTATTATATGTAAGACCAAAGTGAAGCCAGTGGTTTGGAAAGAAGACTGAAGAGGAAAGGCATTTTGGTGGTCCAGTGTGAGACATATTTGTACAGTAGATGAGAAAGTCAGCAGTGGGAGAGAGGCTCCCTGAAGCTGCTCTCTCCCAGACCCAGGCAATGTCTTAGTTGTTAGACTAAATAGTCCTCTTCTTTGTGTAAACAAAATGAGATGTTTAGCAAACAGAAAAACACGTGAAACAGAAGCTCACCGCTAAAACTCATGTTTTCTTTTTAAAAAATACTTAAATTTTTTTGAGATTATGATGTTATTACATCATTTCCCCTTCCTTTTTATTCCTCTAAAACCCTTCTGTATTATGGCAGGAATATGTGGAGGAGCAGAGCTACTCACCTCATGGTGGCCAGAAAGCAGAGATACAGAGGGGACAGAGTCTCAACATCTACTTCAAGGCACATTCCAATGACCTAAATCCCTCTTACTAGGTCCCACCTCTAAAGCATCTATCATTACCAAGTAGTACCATGGCTGATGCCAAGGTTTTAGTACATGGGACACTGGAGACCCATTTTACCGTAGCAAGACAGAAGCTGTTGTTCACTGGTAGAATGTCTGTATCAGAGAAGCTTTATCTCAGTGCTTTGATCTAGCTTATGATCTTCCATCTACCCTGAATATATCAGAAAATATCCATTATAATATTTCTGCAGTAAACTTATATGTTTCAATCATATAAGCAAGGTTCTGTTAGTGTTAAGATGGATAATGAGAGACTATGGCCTAGACAATTTGATACATCAAAAGATCAACCAAAGCACCATGGAAGAGGACTACTATACAAATCCAGAATGGAGTTATGAAAAGCAATAGCAATTAATTTTATTTCTCTAAGTTTCCGTTTTCTCTGGGAGAAGTAGGCAAATTGAATTTGGCTAATTTTATAATTTGATGGATATTTATTTTTTCTTATGCCAATCACCCACCGTGCTAGCCACTTGCATTCATTTAATCGGCAAATACTATAATTTTGCCTTCAGAATGTGTTGAGAGCCTGCTGTTGCTTTAGTTTTCCTACTTTTATTATCCTGCTGCACATACATATCTTATCTGGTGAATGACTGTAATAGCCCTTAACTGACTGCTCTGTGTATCCTTCAGTATCCAGTACAAGCCAATCTCCACATTTCAACTATTGCCATCTTTCTACAACTCAAGAGAGATCATCTTCTTCATCCGATTAAGAGTTTTCTTATTAGTAAAGGTAAAATCTAAGTTCTTTTCCTATGAATTGTGCATTTGTCCGTGACCAGAGCTATGTCCATCACCCCCGTCATGCTCCTTTGCTCTCTTTTGGTATCAGAGGCTTCCTCACGTTTGCTCCGTTACCAAAGCCTACTCCTGTGCAGGGCTTTTGCATGAGTTACTCTATGTGCCTAATATAAAAAGAAATTACAGGTGAGATGACTCATCATGGAAAGGTGCTTGCTTCCAAGACTGATTCTGGGATCTACACTGTGGGAAAGAAGAGTGGAATTCATCAAGTCATTTTCTGACCATGCTGCACATGCTACAGCTCACCCACCCTCTACACACACATGCACACACACACACGCACACACACACTCACATGCAAATGCACACACACACACACACACACACACACATACACACACACACACACACGAGTGCGCGCACGTGCACGCGCCCAAAGTATGTAAAGAAGTAAATACAATTTTCTAGAAAAAACAAAATTTACTCCATTTCTCCATTGCTTTCATGCCACAGTTCAGTTATCACCTTCTGTTGGGAGTCTTTTTGCTCCTTCCTTAATCAGCACCCTCTTGCTATTTATTTATCATGATGCCAGTTCTCCTTTCCCTGCTCTCTTCTCCTTTGCCCCATCACTTCCTTATACAGAAAGCACTTACTTACTATTGTGATCCCCCATTTGACCAGAGAGCTGTTTGCTGCAGTGCTTAAAACACTACCTAAGATGCAACTGGAATTCAAAAATATTTGTTGAATGGATGAGAGGTAAATAGTGTCTACTTCTGTGAAAGTAAAAAACAAGCAAACAAAAACAACAACTAAAAGCTTCCATACCCCTCTTTTGAGTTTTATACAATGCTTTTGTGTTGAGAGAAAAAAAATCCTTTTCTATATCAAATTTGGCAAGGAATTCTGTCTGCTTTTTTCATTCTTGAATGGAATTGTGCTGTCATTTCTCCCACGGCCATTCATTGAACGGGTGTTTCTATGGTTACCATGTTATTTCTAGTCAGAATCCTGTTGAGGAGAAACCTGAATTTGGTATCTCAGGAAGTCAAGATTCCCTTGACATCCTATAAAGATACCAATGAATTTCCACAAATCAGCTTCCTGCTTTATTCAGTAAATTAGTTGGGGAGATGGATTGGAAGACATCTTTGGGGTTCAACTCCAGAGTTCTAAAAAAAATGCACCACAGGAAATAAATAAAATGAGTTACCAATATGTTTGTTTGGCAGCGATGGTCCCAGTGAAATCAATCCAATTTTTCTTTGCCTGCCACTAAGGGGGCCCCGACATTCTAAGTGTCACCATGACCTCATTGTTACAACTAATCATTCTGTAGATTCTGTGTGCTGCTTGTTCTTCCTGTTTTATTCTGGGAGCAGAAATACAATTCCAGATGAATATACTTCTCCAGTATAATTTGTGAGTTCACCCCAGGAAACAAATGAACTCTACCTAATGATTGCTATTCAATGAGAACATCAGGAACTGGCTGAGCTACAGCCCAAAGCAGCTAGCCACATAACTTAAAAACATGCCTTACTCTATATGCTCAATTTCTACATGCCTAGACAATCACTAAGAAAGACAAAATTTTTATTCCCATCCATTTTCTTTTTGTGTCCCTTCTGTGATCCTGTCTGATATTTATTCCATTTGTCTCTAATCAGGCTTCTATTACTCATAATCTGCCCAGTGCAAACCATATGCAGCTGTGTCTTTATTGAATTATGAAAATGTAGAAGCACTCCTGTAACTATGCAGGTATCTCTATATAATCTTTAGAATAAGGAATAGTGCAGAATGCAAATTAATTTGCATATGTATGATGCAAATAAGAGGAATCTTTTATGCACAGTGCCACCTCTATAAGGCTCTCAAAGTCAGGGTCAACATAATCTGCAAAATGCAATTTCGCTTTTGTTGTAATCTTTTCAAAATATGTCATGGAGAATTACATTTTAGGTCCTACAGCAATATATACATTCCCTGTGCCTTATACTCTCTGTTTTCTAGCTTCCCTCTGCAGGCTAACTCTGTTGGCCCAAATGTTTTCCAGTGCATGTCAACCTTGAGATAATAAAGCTTTTGTTCACTTACAGGCCCCTCAAGATATATTAAGCATATGTTATATGTCATATACTCTGCTAGGAATGATAACTGGTTTCCCTTCCTCCATTCCTCCCAATGTCCTCTCCCATCTCTCTTCTCCCCCATATCTATCTCTCCTTCATTTCTCTTCAGAAAAGTGCAGGCTTCCCAGGGTATCACCCGAACTCAGCATACCTCAATGCAGTAAGATTAAGCACAAACCCTCATATCAAGGCTGGATGCGGCAACCCAGTAGGACGAAAGGGGTCCTAAGAGAAGACAGAGGAGTCAGAGACCCCCCCCCCCCCCCGCATTCCTACTGTTAGGAGTCCCACAAGAACCTCAAACTAAACTACCATAGCATGTATGCAGAGGACCTAGTGCAGATCTATGCAGGCTCAGAGATTGCCCCCCTCAGTCTCTGTGAGGCCCTATGAGCTCTGCTTAGTTGATTCTGTGGGCTATGTTCTCCTGGTGTCCTCAACCCCTCTGGCTCCTACAATTCTTTCTCCCCATCTTTCACATGGTTCCTGGAGCTCCAACTAATGTTTGGTTGTGGGTCTCTGCATCTGCTCCCATCAGTTGCCAGAGGAAGCCTCTCTAATGACGATTGGGAAATGCACTGATCATAATAACAGAGTATCATTAGGAATCATTGGTTTTACCCTAGGTGCCCATGCCTGACACTACCTGGATGTCCAGGAACTGGATACTGGATAACCCATTGGTGTCTAATTTTAAGAGAAACAAACATATAATTCAATACCCCAAAGTAACAGAAAAAAATGGTATAACAATCATATCATCAGGCAAGATGTTGTCAGTTCCCTGAAACAAGTAATAGCATAGACACAAAGTCATTGCTGATCTCTCTGAATAACTCTATTCTCCATTTCCTTGGTGAATAGCCTCATTGGCTCCTCATCATTAAAGCTTTTTTCATGCTACCTTTCCAAATTTAAAATAACCTAAAGCATGATTCCAACCTTGCTTACAATCTCCTTTCTTGCAGACGTATTTTATAACCAAATTGCTCTGTCTGTCTGGCATAGTTCATTAGCTTCCTGACTAAGATCTATGCCTTGTTCTGCATCTGTCTCTGCACTAAGTACCTGCTACTTCACAAATAATACATACAAATTGGTGGTGACTGCTTGAGTGTTCATGGTCTACCCACTGGATTCTAAAACATGCCTTTCATTTTTGTCTCCTAGAGAAAAATGGCAAGTATTTGTCAGAGTAATAGAAAAAGTTAGTGTGGCAGTTTCTAACCAACTTTTTTTTTAAAGGTTGAATAAGAATGGATAGAATCAATGATTAGACGATGGGATTTCCTGGGCCTGGAGAGACAGAAAAACACAACATCTTATGTAGGCTAAAGGTCAGTGCAGCTGTTCGGATCCTTATTCAATCAAATATGGATGAAAGGAAATTTTCATCTAATAATAATTCAGCTAATAAAATGGACTGAGTCATACACAGTTGGCTCTGAGGCAGATCTCTTTCTGAATGTGACTAGGGAGAAACATTTGTGATTTCTCTCAGCCAAAAATGGCATCAGACTTCCAATTCCTATGAGGAGCTCAACTAATTTATTTCTCTGATACTGAAATGAAAATGCTAAAGTACTACAGGGCTCATGGCTGAGTCCCCTGTGGCTTGGCACTCTGACAATAGGAACTGCACCAAGATCTCCCAAGATAGTCTGAGCAAGGCTCAACATACACTCTGATCATCATATGCATTGGCTTTGATGTTACTTTTATTTCACTATGAGTTCTTCATTATTGATTAGAGTATCATATAAGGCTATAACTATGGATTCTGAGATAATAACACAATATACACTTTAGCTTGTTTGGGAAAGATTTATTTTAATTTGTGTGTGTGTGTGTGTGTGTGTGTGTGTGTGTGTGTGTGTGTGTGTTTATGCCATGTGTGTGGGTATCCATGGGGCCAGAAGAGGCTGTCAAATTCTCTGGAGCTGGAGTAACTGGTGGTTGTGAGCTGTGCACCATGGAGCTAAGAACTGAACTTGGTCCTCTGGAAGAGCAGCAAGCACTCTTAACCACTGAGTGACATCTCTAGACCCCATATTTAAAGCTTGAATAGGTCTCACAGGCTTACATCTAAGGCTTGTTCCTTGGGAGATTATGGTGGTATTTTATTTGTACTGAAATGTGATTTTAATTGTATGTTAATAAATAAAGTTGCCCAGGGGTCAGAGCTATTAGAGCCATAGCAAGAGCATGGTGGTGGTGGCACACACCTTTAATCCCAGCACTTGGTAGAAGAGCTAGGTAGATCTCTGTGTGTTCAAGCATACAGCCAGCATTGGAGACACATGCCTTTAAGACCTGGAGGGCTGTACTTACAGGCAGTGACGAGGCAGTCACTTGTTTGGGTTTACAACCACTGAGAAGGCAGAACAGAAAGACTATATAAAGACAAACACACAGGAAGTAGGTCTCTTTCGGAGAGGTCTCTTGGCTTAAGAGGCTAGCAGCAGGCGGTAAGGCTCTTAGCTCTGATCTCTTGGCTTTCTTCTTTGCCTTTGCATTGGTTCTGTGTTTCTTATTTAATAAGACTGTTGGTTACATCTACAGGAGATTACAGAATCCTGAGAGGAATCTTACTGGAAATAAGTTAGGGCATTGGAGACACGTCCTTGAAGAGGATATCATAACCCCAGAATGTCCTCTTTTTCTTTTTGTTTACACTAGAATTCTTCCTTCTATGTTTTCCTTTTTTTCTGGGTACCTGAGTAATTACAATCTAAACTCCATAATGCTTATATTTATTCAGTCTCATAATTTAACCAACTAGATCCTTTACCTCGGGTATTTGTTGCAGCAACGATAAGTTGACTGCTACAACAGATACATAACTCAGAATGCTAAATGTTCAGATTTATGAAAATAAAATTTAAGTTATAAAATACATTAGACACATACTCATTTGTTTCTAAATGAATGTTTGGCATCAAACATTCAAACATTACTTAACTTTCAATTTTTCCTCTAATTCATTTTATTCAGCCAGCTTCATTCTAGTAAGCATTGTTTATACTGTAATTACTCCTTGAATTTTTTCTATTTCTGGATATTTGACTATACTTGCCATCTAAACTCCATGTATGCTTACATCTGTACAGTATCCCCCATAATTTGACCAAATAGATGAACACATAAATACTATAAATAGATAAAATTTATTTTCCAAATTAGATCAAATCACATTCATATTTGAGGTAATTTATATTGATTTAGGAAGTTAAAGTTATAATCTTACTCTATTATTTCTAGTTTATAGACAGAATTTGTGTAAAGTGAATCGAACTTAGATCCACAGACATACAGTAAGAATGCTATAGAACTTTGTGAATGTAGGTATAGTGAGACAATATTTCGACTACTGACAATAATAGGCTTTCTGTGCAACATATGAAGTTGGATCAAGAGCACACACTTGCTACCTGTGTGTTACTAAGTGTTTACTTTCTACTATGACGTGAGCTGTTTACGGAGTACTTATGAGCTACAGGTTACAGTAGAAAAAAAGCAAATATGTGAAAGATCAGCCTTCAACACAGGATGTGCTCCAAACTTGGGATTGTTTATGCTTTAACATCATGCTGCTGAATTACTATAGGCTGGTGTGTTCCCTGGATGCTTTGATATTCTCATTCAGTTTATGGGTAATTGAGGATTCACAGTGGAATAGTGCAGTCATTCCCAAATAAAAACAAGTGTGATAGCTTCTTAGGTTGAGAACAGCCATCAGGTAAACAAGAAGAGTTCAGTTAATAGCTTCCACATCAATAAAGAGATGCGATGGATAAGGAGTTATGGCAATAGTTGCATTTGGCAAAAATTAGTCCCAAACAATTTTCTCTGTTCAGTTACACAGCTGTGCAGTCTGTGTTAGTGACATTTGGTTGAATTTACTTTGTTTGAACTTGACTCAAACTATTCCAGTTTTTAAAAGTTTTGTGTGTGTGTGTGCAGGGGTGTGTTTTGCCTTCATGTATGTCTGTGCACCGTTTTTATGGCTGGTGGCCACATAGGCTAGAAGAAGGCATTGGATTTTCTGGAACTGGAGTTTCAGATGATGGTGAACTATCACATGGATGCTGCAAGTTAAACCCAGGTCCCCTGGAAAAACAGCTAGTGCTCTTAACTGCTGAGCTATCTCTCCAGCTCCAACAGGGGCTTAAGA